CATGCCACCCTGCCTTGGGACCAGCCAACTACAAACTGAAACCTCTATAAACTATAAAGAAGTTTGTAGTCTGCTTCACGGCAGTGGGAACATTGCCTGAATATTGTCCTTCTGTAATGTAGAAACCACCTGAACACCGAACAAATTTGTTGTTGGTATTCTACAACTGTTTAAACTCCAGGGAGTTTATAGGCTTTAGCTGGAAACTTTTCAGCATGATAAGAATGTCCACTATGTTCCCTGGTTGCACATTGGTTGCACAGACCAGAAATCCTGCAGTCCACTTTGTATAGCTGTCTCTATTCTGCATGTAAAAGAAGTAGTAAGAGATACTGGGGTAAGGGTAAGAGACCAATTTCTATACTGTTCCCAGATGGATGTACATTTCCACCTTTTTTCCTCAGATGTTCCTTCATTATTTCACTTCAATGTACTACTCTGTGAACTTTTCTATGGATTATTTATTACTTTCCATAACTGAAAATCATTTGAGGGTTTTAAGATGGCTCAAGAAAATTATACTTTTCAATCAATAAATATGCAGAGTAAGCAATCATTAAATTCTGTAGATAATTAGCCTTGAAACTCAGGGATTATTGTATGACCTGTTTTCAAGATACTAGCAGTCAGCCTTGACTTTGAAACAAACTCTGTCAAAAACATTTAATGGTGTCAATAGACAGCATTTCAATAAATGTTCAGTAAATAAATATTTAGGGTGAGTACTAGAATATAAAGAGACCATTTTACCAATGTGTTATACACCAGTCCAGTTAGCTATAACAGTCACACGTACTCAAGAAAATAGTTTAAGAATCAACAAAATTTTTTGGTTGTCTTTCTTACCTCAGATGTAATGATCAAATTAAGGTATTAGAAGGTTGAAATTCTTTCCCTAGACTACCACGTTGATTTTGACAAGGGGGGTGGGGGAGATTCACTAAGCACCTGAAATACTGCATTATTCATGAAATTGATCTTTGAACTTAATTGGACCTAGAGAATAAAACCATAGGCAATCAGGAGAGAAAAATAGTTTTTGTATTATAGGCAATATTTATTCTAATTAGGAATATTTTATGAAGGTTTATTAATTTTTAGTTAAACAAATAGCCCACTAACCTATGGCGTACTTAAAAGGCTGTCTTATTTAATCTTTCTCCCTAGTACATGGTAAATGTCCTAGAAATGTTTGTGTATTGTTTGTAGATAAGTACGACAGTTGCTGATGAAAAAAAGGCTGTCAGACATTTTACTTGCTTTTAAAATTTAGAATGAGTAACATAAATCTATATTGAAATTGAACATGTTGGTTTCCCATTTGGATGAGTTGGAGGTAAAAGAGGAAAATTTTTAAAAAGATTTTAAAGGGAGACAGTCTTAAAGAAAGGAAGAAAATAGGTTAGACTCATATAAGGAAGGGATCAAGAATGAACACAAAGGATGAGAAAACTACTGGAAGACAAATACATGCAGAGAAACAAAACAAGAAAACAAAACAAAGCAAGCCATACTCAGAAGGCAGGGAGGAGACTGCACAGGAGTCCAGGAAAGAGATGTCGTCTAGGTTGGTTGGAGGAAGAGTTGATACCCTGAGGCTGTTTGCCTTTCAAAGTAGCACTGTCTTCCATGGAAAATTTTAACAGTGCTTGAAAGAGCATTTCTGTTTTGTTTTCAGCCTTCAAGTTTTATTTCTGAATAAACTTTTACATTTTCAAAAATTCTAAAGATTTTGCTCATGTCTGAAAAGCATCAAGTTTCAGAAAGTGATTTTTTTTTTTAGAAAATCAGTTTTTCACCTGCAAAACAACCCAATCACTTTATTTTGTGCTCTGAAGTTATAGTTGCCATATCCACAACTTTAACTTTATTTGTTCTTAGAAAACTTAAGAGAAACCTCAAGTTTTCACTGGTTTGTTTACATTCTAGTGAAAGTAAATATAGTATTTTCTATATAAAGGATGTATATAAATTTAGATTAATATCTTTACTGGATATATAGAAATAAATTAATTTAAATCGTACAAATTTTTTTACTGGATTCAATCTTACAAAGCAGGCATACTCGTAAAATTTGGGTGATAGGTAGGCTGATTAACCACATTTGATCAGTACACATTGTAACATGGATCAAAACATTATATTGTACTTTATAAATACGTATAATTACTATGCATCAATTAAGAAAAAGGTGATCCCATAACTCACTCTTTCAGAAAGTACAGAGGATTAGGTATCATTTTAGATGAGTTTTTATTTTTAAACTATTATGAAATAATCTCCCATTCTCATAGTATTCTACTAGATTAAAAAAGTTATAAAGTAAAATTACTGTAAAGAAATTTTCTTTTCTGTTAAAATAAATAGTCCCATTAAGTACCAATTGTTAGTGCTGCTTATTACCTTGAATAACCTAATTGCAGGGCTGATGTATCAGGTTATGGTAAATGCTTCAGTCAGAGTTTGAAGCAGTGGTTTGTAGATTAGTGAAAGAAAACCAATAAAATCAGGCCTTGGAAAAGTTTACTGTGGTTTTACTATGCTTGACTTTCTTTACTTTCCTCCACAAGTATATCAGAGTCAAGGAAGTTTCATCTGTTGATGACTGGGAAGTGAAGCAATCATTAATAGCTGTCACTGCCCCTCACAGGAACTGACTCACTTATTTTCAGATGAAACCATGGAGTATTAGGGAGAGCTAGAAACTCAGAAACCTGTTTCCTTACCAGGAAAAATGTGATCATCTCATGTGGGTTTTTATTACATATGATGTTCTGTCTTGCTTTTTATGAATTCTTTTTAAGCATTTTTTTCTGTGAAGCATCATGGACTTCATAATTGGTGTTGTACATAACTTTGATCTGCTTTACCTTTGAAATGGGTAAAGTAGTGCTTTCGAGCTTTTCATCACATGGTTAAACCTTGGTCATTCCTCATTGCTCAAGAAAAGTTTCTAGGGTAAAGTAGGTAGGAGAAACACTCATCTTCAAAAGAGAAATTTTACATAAGGTGACTGATACCTAGCATACCTAAATAAACATAACCCTTTCCAGCTTCTGTCATTCTTTGGCTCCCAGATTCTAGTAAGTGCAGGATTCTAAAGCACTTCATCTCCAGGAACCACGCCTCCTCTTGGGGCTGGAAATCGATCATGGTCCCAGATGGCAACGAACAGCTTCCTTTCCAGTCCTGATGAGCCTGTTTGAGGAAAATTCGGGACTCATAATAACATGTGCAGGTGCTTGGCCTTACTACTCACTCACCACATCTGTCATCTTCCCAGTCTTCTTGTCAAGGGAAGTACAGTATTCATTATTTCAAGGCTGACAAAGCAGAACCCTCCGGTGGTAGGAAGTTTTTTTCCATTTTTCCAGAAGTTTTAGGTATAGAATGTAAATAGTGAAGAGATAGAATGAGATTTTGGCTTTTTTTTTTTTTTGTCTTTTTGAGATAAGGTTTCACTATGGAGTGAATTCAGGCTGGCCTTGAACTCACAGCGATTCACCTGCCTCAACTTCCTGAGTGCTGAATTACAGGTGTGAGCCACCACACCTGGCTCATGGCGTACATTTAAAAAAAAAAAAACAACTAATGTACATCAACAGAACAGACAAGTATAGTCATACAGTCATACAGACAAGTATATCTTCATACAATAGACTGAACTGAGCAGTGAGAAAGTCTGAACTAAAGGGACATGGAGGGCTGGGGATTTAGCTCAGCGGCAAAAGCGCCTGCCTGGCAAGCGCAAGGTAGTGAGTTCGGTTCTCAGTACCGGAGAAAAACCAAAAAAAAAAAAAAAAGCGACATGGAACAGCATGGATGAATCTTACAATTATGATGGGCAAAAAATACAAGTTGTTTAAGTTTTCATATATATACATTATATATATTAGTATATTAATATATCATTTATGCATGACAGTAATGTCCAAGATAGCAGAAAAGAATAGGATAGAAGAAAGGAATTGGAATATAATTTGGAGGAGATACAATGGGAGTTTCAACTGTACGTAATTTATTCTTTATAGTTTGTTGGACTACACTTAGGTCAATTCCCATTCAGCTAAGTCCTCTGGAATTAAAGCGGATACTTCAGAGTAAAAAAAATTATAAGTTGTTCAGTCATTAGAACAGTTTTCTTTTTAAAATTTTTATTAGTACATGTTTGTAGTGTGCTCTCAATTACACTTCTGTGCAGTTCTTATTGGATAAGAAATTAAATATTTTCAAGAAGTATTTTTTTTTAAAGTTATTATGAACTAAAAGAGAAAGTGCAGCCTGAGAACCTGTAGGTGGAACTGAGCCCTACCTACTCATTTTGTTTGACCTGCATGGTATTCACATTTTCAAAGATAATGACTTAGTGTCCTTTTTGAGATTTCTACTATCAGAAAACCTGGCAACATTAGGCACTGGTTTTTTAGTTGGCAGGAGCTTTCCAGAGCTGAGAAGTAACTGTTCTCTTTCAGGGGGCATGTCCTGTCCATTTGGCCACTGTCCCCATCCAGCCAAGTTTCCTCATTTATATAGTTTGCCATACCCTGGAGGCCTTGCACTCTCAACCTGTACATTGAATTCTAGTTCTCACTTAACTAGAATATTCAGCGATCCAAAATGTACCTTCCCTGTAGGTACCCAAGTAATGATACAGTTTTATCAAATACTACTTATAAGCATCATTTCTAAGATATTCTGGTAAGGCTGGTTTTAAAGAATAGTAATTGTGGTTTCTGGTTTTGCAGTGTTTGTAAAAACGGACTTCCTGACAAATAACATGGTAGACCGACCCTCAGCCATGGGATGATGTACAAAACCAGTTACAAGATCACTGGAGTTTCTATTATGCTATTCTGGCCGTGCTGTCCAAAAGATCTATTCACAAAGAGCAATTATTTCTCAACTAATTAAGGATTTTTTTTAAATGTACATCTGCCTAGCTGCCTACTATCGAATCTTATTCTTACACAAATATTCTCTCTATTTTGGTGGGTCTGAAGATGACAACAGCAACACGACGAGAAGTTCTTAGCCTCTACCGTCGCATTTTCAGGCTGGCAAGGAAATGGCATGCAGCATCAGGGCAGACAGAAGACACTATCAAAGAAAAACAGTATATACTAAATGAAGCCAGAACACTATTTCGGAAAAACAAAAATGTAAGTAGGCCCCTATTGGAGATTGCAAAGAGCAGAGTAGTTTCTTATAGTGTGGGTTCATTTCTTCTCTGTCCTAAGTGGAGAGGAGTGAGCAGAAGTCAGTGGCCCAGGCTGAGACAGAAAACAGCCAGTGCACAGCTAGACTAGCTCTGCCAGCCCCTGGAAAGTCAAGCCCAGCCTGTGTTTCTCTCTCCACTTGTTCCAGGTGTCTTAATTATTTTTCTTTTGTTGCTGAGACAAAATACCTGGCATCCAAAGTTAAAGGGAGAAAGGTTTATGTAGCCCACGGTTTTAGAGGTTTCATTCCATGATCAACTGGCTCCAAGGCAGGGTGGCTTGGCAGATATCAGTTCATGGTGGGCAAAAAGTAGCAAAGCAAACAAAAGGGCAAGATTGGCCTCTTTCTGTCCCTTATATTGTATCCAGGCTATTGGGATTAGGGTGGTACCAGTCAATCAATGGACTGATTTAGTAATCACCCACCCTTAATCCTTGCCTTGCACCATGAATCAATCACGCATTCAAGGTTCAGTCACATCTGAAGAAGCTGTATTTATGACTTCATGAGGTTTAGGGTGACATCTGGACACAAGCAGTAACACCAGGTCTCAGTCCAGCCAATAAGTAGTTCAACATCTTCAGTTGACCCTACAGGTCAGGCCATTGGGAGTTTCAGAAGAAGAGTGAAATGTTTGTTTCAATTCATAAGCTCATCAAAGCCCCCAAATACAAACCCATTCAAAGTGAAAAGAATAGGATTAAGACACAAGGTTCCCTTCATAACTTATCTTTGAACTCAGTCCTCTGGCTAACAGAGTCAAGTTACCCTTAGGCACTACAAAAAATAGTGCCTCCATTAGCCTGTTTAATGGAACGACACACCCAGATATCAGGCAGCCAGATTTGACCCATCCCAGCAAACTATAACGCGTTAGCTGTTAGCTCCTTGGGAAGACGGCCAGGCATGAAGCATGGAAGGGGCCTTTCTTGCCTGACTTCTCTTTGGCCTCCTCGCTGATCTACTGGACTCAATTCTTTTCCCTGTTTTCCTCATAAAACTTCCAAACAGGGTTCTGTCACTACTTTTCCCTCCCTGACCTCTGCCTCCATCTCTTTTCACCCTATGTTCTACATACTCTTTCCCACCAGCTATAGGGATCCTTTAAAGATCAACTTTCTTGTCTGAGGCCTGTGCAACATGCAACCACCTCATGGTTTTACTTCTTACATCCAAACACACAGCATTGGCCTCTAACCAGCCATCCAAAGGACCTCGCCACAGCCTCATAGTCCAAACCAGAACTCATCTGTCTATTGGAGTGCCTCCCCTCCCAACCTGCCCATATCTGTCACAGCTCCTTTGCCTCTGTTTGGATTGGCAAATGGGTGAACCAGAGGCTGGTGTGCATGCCACATGCCTCTGCCTGCCCCCCATTAATTTCATCATATAAAGTTGTTTGGCACATGGTGGGCACTTGAGTACCTGTTCAATGAAGACAATGAATTGCAGAGTGGTGACAGGAGTATTCACTGTAATTTTAATCTGTGTAAAGACATTCAGGAAAGAGGACCTCCAAAACTGCTTCAGAAAGTGGTAAGAACTATGGGATAAGCATGTTCAAAGGGAAGAGGGGGTATTTCAAAGGGGATTGATGATAATATGTCTTTCCCTTTAATAAAGTTTTGAAAATTTAGACATTCACTGTATATTTTGACCACATCTTGTAAGCTTTTTTTTTTTTTTTTTTGGTTTTTCTCTGGTACCGGGAACCAAACTTACGAGCTTGCGCTTGCCAGGCAGGCACTTTGCCGCTGAGCTAAATCCCCAGCCCTCTTGTAAGCTTTGTAAATTAAGTTTCACTAAGAGTTTAATAATCTAAAGGTATCTCATTAATTGCTCTAAATTCCACTGGGCAAATGGGAACATAGAAATCTATTCCCAATGTAGATAATAGAGCAGTAGCTTCTGAGAAACACAAAGGTCAGAAAGTTGAGCCTTTGCCCCAGGGGACTGATCTTCTCTTTATTGCTGTTCCTGGAACTCTTCCTCTCTACTCTGAGAGGCACCATACAACAGGAACTCCCTTGGAAATTCCAAGACACATACCCCCCCCACCCCATCAAATCGTT